TCGGAGCAGATCCAAAAGCAGAGGGCGCTCCTCCTCTCGTTCCAACTCGAGGTCCTCCAAGTCGTCTGGCTCATACTCAAGGTCGCGGTCACGCTCATGCTCCCGTTCATACTCCCGCTCCCGCTCCAGGTAGGTAGACACCCCCCTTGCAGAGATTAGGGCCTGAGGCTTCTCCATGGTCGCTGGACTGACCCATTGGGCTCTCCTGTTGACTCTCCCTGCAGGAGCCGCAGCCGATCCCGCTCCTCAAGAAGCCGCTCGAGGTCCCGCTCCCGCTCCAGGTCCAAGTCGTACTCCCCAGGGAGGAGACGTCGGTCGCGGTCCAGGAGCCCCACCCCGCCGTAAGATATCTGTCTTAACTGTCCAATGATCCGCTGGTAGTGCTGGACCCTCTGAGGCTTTGCTGTGAATATTGAAACGTTTCATTAGAAGACGTGCTCAAGATGGCCCGTGCTGGGTCGGTGCCTCAGGGACCCAAGTGCTAGCATGGTGACAGTGGCACCTCCTTTTCTCACACCCTGGTCTTTTTTATGGTCACATTGTAAAGCCTGAGACAGTGGCTGGGCTCTCTTTCTAACTATTTTAGGGGTTCAGTGTGACCTGCCCTTGCTGCACATTGTGGGACAGGGACCATCATCTTAGGGAGCCCCTTTATCTGGCTGGCGAAGAGGATGAAGAAGAATGGTAGAGACACAAGTGTGTGTGTCCATCCTATGCTGTGACCATTCACATAAGCCACACGCTGTAACACTCTGAGAATTTCCATTCCAATAAATGTACCAGCTCTTTTTTAAGAGACGTAACCTGTCTTAATTTTAGTTCCTCGGCTGGTCTGGGTTCTAATTCAGCACCTCCTATACCTGACTCCAGGCTTGGGGAAGAGAACAAAGGACATCAGATGCTGGTGAAAATGGGTAAGGTTCCGTGGAAGATGAATGACCCGCTCTGGGCTTTCGGGATCGGGGGTGATGGAGTCAGAGCAAGTTCCAACTTACCACAAGATCTGGAATGAGGGCAAGCCCGCAGGGTTCTGCTGGGCATTCTTTATCAGCTTTACATTTTTAAACTGCATGTTTGCATGTTACCTCCTTAAATGCATTCCTACTTAACTTTATGTCAGGGTAAAGGCATCAGTTTCAGCTTTTGTGGGTTGTAACCACTTGCCCCTCTTTCTTCCTAAGGCTGGAGTGGATCTGGCGGCCTCGGCGTGAAAGAGCAAGGGATTCAGGACCCCATCAAGGGAGGGGACGTGCGGGATAAGTGGGACCAGTACAAGGGTGTGGGCGTGGCCCTGGATGACCCCTACGAGAACTACCGCAGGAACAAGAGCTACTCCTTCATCGCCCGCATGAAGGCCAGGGACGAGTGCAAGTAGTTGTGGCAAGGAGCCATACCGGCACCTTGGCCCTTGGGACCTTCCTGGCTTATTGGCGGTGGAAGATGGTAGGGACAGCTCGGTTCTCACACTGCCTCCATCTCTGGGGAGCAACAGAAGAGGATGATGACCACAGCATGCTGAGTGACCAGTGCCATGCTCAACTGCGTGGGAGGTCTAGGCCCCACCTGCAAACCAGCTCCAACGTAGAAGCAAGATTCACATGAGGAGATGCCCTAAGCTCGTCCCCTGGACAGTGAAGCAAGAAACATGAGCCCCTCACCCCCTGGATGAGAATCCTTAACACCTGAAGGAGCAGATGTTTCCCATCTCCCCACAGTCAGATCTGAGCCTCTGCTTAAACCAGCAGGCTTGTGTGGAAGTAGCCCTGGGCGCGCCTGCTCGCTGCCCAGGCTAGGGGCGCAGCGGGCCAGCTCTGCCGCCTGCCCGCACTGGATATGTCATGACAGAGATCAGGCCAGGCACTAGTACTGCTCACTCTTTAAAAACGGAACAACAAAACCTTGATTTGCAAAGCTGAACAGGGCTTTCGTTTTTACTCCAAGTGGTTTAGTTTTTAAAAAAAAAAAAAAAAGAATATTGATCTAAGATGATCCCCAGTGAGATAATTTGAAACTTGATTCCTCCAAGACATTGGTCCTTAGTTCAGTTATTTTAGTTGAGTATCTTTTTTTTTTTTTTTGAACATTAGCCATTTGCTATTATCTGCAGAAAGAAAAGGCTCTAAGGAGATGGATCTGAGGTATCTTCAGGTCATGGAGTGACGCCCCGGAAGGATCTGTATCCTTAGCATCTACTTGTGTTTTTTTCACTTAGAGGAACCCCAACACCAGCACTTGTGTGCGACAGCCCATTCAGACCCAGTGTGGGGAGCAGCCACCGGCCATGCCTCCTGCTCTGTCACTTTTCTTCTCAACCCCCCCTCCCCATGAGGGGAGGTGAGGCCTGAAGGGAGCCACCTCTGCTGGGAGCCTTGGAGTGACCGCACCAGGATTGGCCGTACTTGGCGTCTACGGGCAATGGGGTGTGGTACCATTTATTTGTACAGAAACATTTTTTGAAAAATCCTTTAAGATGGCAAAATCCTCTCCAACTTTTCAACCTGATGTGATAAAATATTTGATTTTGTTCTAGGTTTCCTGTAGCTGTGAATTGTTTAAACGCGTCTGATTCAGGATAAAGCGTAAATGTGCTGTTAACAATTTCTTGTGGATTTTACTGTTTTGCCTTCAAATAAAGACTTTTTTTAAAGACCTTTTTCTCTGTGTGTTGATGTCAGATGTGTGCTCAGGCTCTGCAGGGAGGAGGTGTGTCTCGAATGTGGACTTCATTTGTGTTGTGGGGTCGGGTCAGAAGTTCTGCCTGAGGTCTCATGGGAGTCCCCAGCGTGGACCCCTGGCGCTGTGTCCTCATTAGTGAATGGGGCTTCTCGTCCCATCTACCTCAGCTCATTGGGAAGCCAGTACCTGGCCAGGTGGAGCAACTCCACAGGCTCCAGACAAGCTGGCATCCTCTGTCCTGCCATGAGTGATAATAGAGCTCAAGCCAGGTTCCATTTCCACTGGCCTGTGGCGTATCTTCTCGGGTGCTGGGCACACCAGGGAGGGGGCGCCAGAAGGGATCAAGTGCTCAGAAAAGGCTAGAGCTGGGATTCCGTTCAGGTGAACTGTGGGTACCACCTGCCTCCCCCCAACCCCTACCGAATTTCCCCTTAACACTAATGTGTCTTGGCTGGTGTACTGGACCAGCTTGTTAGATCAGCCCACAAGTCTAGCCTCACCTGGCGTTCACAGCTCCTTCTTCACCTCCTCCAGAGCATCCTCCATGGTCAGCGGGGCAGGCCTGTGGTGCTTGATGTACTGTGGGGCAGAGGACAGACAGATGTGTCACCACAACCACCTCAGCCTACTGAGGCTTTGGGTGCTGAAGATGGTACCTGTCTCCAGTGGCTCCTGGTCAGGCTGACAGAAAAGGTAGGATGCCATGTTAAATGCTATGGAAAGAGAAGAGGAAAGATAAGCCCTGGCTGAGTCTGAAAGGATGAATGACTGCAGTTGGGGAGAAGGGCCTGGGTGCCACTCTCAGAAAGTAGACAGTGAGAAGCCATGGTGGGCTGTAGGTGGGCGACGTGGTCAGATCACCTCAGTCTGCATGCAATCAACTGATGGACGTCCAAAAGGAACAAGTTAAAGGACCCTACAGTGCAATCAGCAAAGTCCAGGATGTGGGAGACTGTCAGACAAACCCCCTGTTTTCTTCAAATAAACTGCAAGAAAACGAGAAAGGGGAGGTAGGGAAACATAGAGCAGTAGTTCTCAAAGTGGGTCCCCAGCGGGACCCTGCTGCCAACAGAACCCAGGTAATCACAGCCCTGGTGGGGGTGGGTTGGACACTGCTCAGGGCTGAGAACCGCGGTTCCAGTTGAGGCTTAAAAGCAGACGGTCTCAATGTGCAAACTGTCTGGGTCCTGATGAAAAAATAGGAACAAAGTGTCTGCCTTTTAATGAGACAAGTAGAAATCTGAACACTGGATATCCAACAGTATGAAAAAAGTTCATTGGGTGTTGGTATGATAATGGTATGGACTTTTTTAAAAGTCCTCATTTAAAAATACACACTGAAATATTGGTAGATAAAAATGCAGACCAGTTCATATCGTATGCCATTTCTATTAAAAAACATACATAATGTGTATAATATACCTATTACATTGCAACATATTTTACATATTGTGTAAAATATATATTACGTACATATACATAAGTTATTTTACATGAGGAAAACAGTCATCCCTGAAATTACAGAGGACTTTATAAGTTATACATCTCTAGTTTTTATAAAATAACATCTTGCGTAATCAGACAAAAATTAAATTTTTGAAGGGAAAAAGCAGTGTGACATCCCTTGCGCTTTGGCCCATGGGACTGAGAAGAAAGGCCCTGGCCTGGTGGCACTAGGGAAGGGTTTGTGAAGGGACGGCACCCCTCACTGAGGAGAAAGTCAGCCTTGGACTGAGGTCACTCAGAGCTGCGCCAGCTTCTGAGGCTGGCTGGCTGTTGGTGCCCCGTCCCTGCATGGACTCTTGTGGACAAGAAGAAAACAGGCTCTTTCCTCTAGGACAGAAGGTGACTGGGCCCTCTTGTCCATGCTGCCCTGGGCTGAGTGCCCTCCCTCTTCCCAGAAAGGGTAGCCGGGCTGTGCTCACCTCTTTGGCTTCCTCCAGGGTGTGGTAGTGGAAGGTGTCATGGTCCAGGGACTGTAGGAGGGACCTGTGCAGGTGCCGGCTGGCCTCGATGAACTGCTGCGTCAGGCTCAGCTGCTGCTTTAGCATGTCATTGAGCGCCAACACTGCCGGGCTGTAAGCTGTCAGGGCTGCCCCCCACGATGCATCACTGGGTGGCCCCCAGGCCCCTGTCCGCCCACCAGTACCCTCAAACCCATCAGCGTCAGCTATTTTGGGCCCACATGCCATGCAGCCTCTACCCTCTCGGCTATGTCTGGACACTTTCTAGAAGTGTTGCCACCTTGGGAAGTAGTGAAGGCTTCGCCCATTCCTTGTCTGTCTCTAGTAAATGAACTGCCTTCACCTGACTCTGGTGTTAACCTCAGAGCTGTACTTCTAGAAGGCTCCACTCCCAGGCAGGAACAGAAGGCTTCGTGTCCAACACAAAGAAAGGTTAGTAAACTGACACCTGTATTGTACAAGTGCACAATGTGAATCTATTTGACATGACTGAACTGTACACTTAAAAATGGGAAAGAGGGTAATTTGACAATATGCATGTTGAAATAAAACTTTAAAAAATACAATTAAAAATAAAATTTTAGTACAATAAAAATACAATTCAAAATAAAACTGCAAGTGTTAAAAATGATCCTTATTAAAACTACATAGTAACAGAAAAAAATCTTTGAGGTTGATGTTTCTAAAAATCACGTTTTTTAAAAAGCTATAAACATTTGACATGTTACAACCAGTATATTTTAATATCATTTTTAAAAACGAATTTTTTTAAATGAAGTTAAAATGGGAAAAAAAATAGCAGGTACTAGACAGATTCTTGCTGGTATATGAAGCATCAGTGGCCCCACGGGGACCTGGCAGAGTCTGGGCTCCCTAAGGTGGCTGTTGGGTGCCTTCCTCTTGCTACAGATGGGCTGGGCCTCCCCAGGACCCACGACTCCCCTAGACTCAGCAAGGAGGCGAGGGCCCCATCCACCTGGCTGGCTGCCTCGCATTACTGGCTGAATACCTTCAGGGGAGAAATGTGTAGAGATTCCAGACAAAAAGGTTCAAAGGGGAACACAGAAAATTAAAATAGCCCTGTTGGGGTGGAGGACTTTGAAGTGTGTTACTTTTTGTCCTCTTTTGTCCGACATGGGTGTCCTTTGGGGAGACACTCAGTTTGTCATCTGGGGTCCAGATGACAGCTGCCTATGGCTGTGACCGTCCCCACCAATGGATTCCCCGGATCCAGCGCTAAAGCAGGGGGCCATACCTCCAGGGGTGGGTGTGGATTTGCAGGTAAAATGCATCCAATTCACTTCAAGGCCCCCCAAGCTGGGCTGTTACCTTCTATTGCATCTGCACTGACGACGTGACTGGCGATGGGCTCAGGGTCCACATAGGCACTTCCCAGGGCTGGCCCAATGGCCGCCACGCCAGCCGCTGTCCCAAGGACAAAGGGGGAGGAGGTGAGTGGCAGGATTTGGAACGATGGCTGACATGTGGCTAAGCCCCTCAATCCAAATGAACTGATCAGGGAGAATCATACCCCTCTGCACAGTCCAGGAAGAATCTCTGTCTACACTATGGGTGATGTCTAGACAAGAAAAGGGAGGATGGTATTTAAAGGAAAGGGAACTTTCTGTCCAGAAGAGCCGAAGTCGATGCTGGAGGTAAGAGAAACGTCTGGAAAGTCACATCGGGCATAATGAGACGTGTCGCCGGCACCACAGAGGAGAATCCACTGAAACACGCTGAGCTCAGATAACCATCTAGACCAGCAATGTGGCAGCCCTGGGAGGCCCTATGCTGGGGCCCCACGAGCTGCTTGAGGACACACTATCCCAGAAGGCAGTTCCCGTCTCAACACTCTCCCCAGACTCACCCCGGGCCCTGATGATGTTTAGGGCCATGTCACTCTTTGGTGGCACTGTCTTGGGCACTGCAGGATGTTAAGCAACATTCCTGGTCCCCGCCCACTAAACTGTCACCCAGCTGTCACAGCCAAAAATGGCCCCAGACCTTACCGATGTCCCCAGTTGAGAACCACTACCTCAGTCTTTGATTCTGGTACCTTTCAGAATGTCTGAGATCTCGGAACTGACAATCAGAAACAACTGGGGCAACTAACTGCTCTTCCTCCATGAGAGAGGAAACCGGGGTCCCCCCAGCTGGTTAATGACAGCCCAGCGCTCCCAACCCTGGGGCTCCTTGTCACACTTCCAAGGATGGCCTGCGCCTTCCTCCTCAGGCCCTCAAGCCACATGCTTACCCTTCATCCACTGGTAGGCGAAGGCGGGGTCGAGGGTCTGCACAGCCGTCTCCTTCACGACTCTTGGAACATCCCTGGCCCGCTTTTTTCGAGACACGCGTGTTGGCAGGGGACGATCTGTCTTCAGGCTTTCAGAGAGTTCAGACAAAGTGGCCAGCGTCCTATCTGGAGACTCCTCAGTATGGGCCATTGGCTCAGATGCTGTCAGACTTGGGGATATGTTGAAATCTTCTGAGTAAGCCGAACTCACTGTGCTGGCCGTGGTTTCCTTAGACGCTGGCCTCAGGCTGGAAGCGTACTGGGACCCAGCAGAGGAAGCCAACGACTCACTCAGGTGCTCTGAGACCTCGCTTCCCTTCGGGGGGCCCCTGGCCCAGGGGCTTTTGCTGTGTGTCTTTTCCCTCTGACCTTCTTTCTAAATGAAGGATGGCAGAGATAACTGGAAAGTGTTTTCCAACGATCGACATGCTCTGAATACCACTGCCTTAGAATGAGGTGCAAGGTGCCCTTGGGGGCCCGGCAGGCAAAAGGGCCACACCGGTCCTTTATTAGATTTGGACAGGCCGAGTATTTGAGCAGGGCTCTTGAAACGTTTCAGCCCGGGGCTGCTACATTTAACACAGACAGTGCAACTGTGTAGGGGGCACATGGGTGAAATGTTAGTGTCATTATTATGTATTATTAAAATATGCCTTTGATAGTGAGCTGGTGACTAATATGGCAAGAATCACAATAGGGCACTGGAATGGGTCAGGCAGGTGTTTTTACAGGGTGGTTTAAGTGGGACCGGCTTTAATTGTCTGCTGTATTAAGTAGCTTTAGCTTGTTGCCACCTAAGTCAGGGTCTCTCTTGTGGCGCTCTTGACATCTGAGGCCCAATGTCAAGTGGGGGCCATCCTGTGCATTGCATGACCCTGAGCAGCATCCAGCCCAGCCGCCACCCACTCAATGCCAGTAGCACCCTCCACCCCAGTCATGACAACCAAAAACTGTCTCTACATATCACCAAGTGTCCCCTGGGGGCACAACTGCCCCCAGTTAAGCATCACTGACCTAAATGAAGAATAATGGTTGCAAGCCTTTCTATGTAATGACCTGCAATGAAAAATTGGTTGTACTTACTTTCTGTTCCAAGTCCAACTTCTCACTGACAGCTGGAGCCAGATCATCAAGGGATAAAATATTTATTCTAAAATCTGTAATTAAAAATGTAACATGACAATATTTACTAATTTATTTACTCCATAAATGTTTATCATCATGTTGTAGACACTGGGCTACGCTCCAGGAAGATAGGAAAATGTGCCGTCCCTGTCCTCGATGAGCTAGGCCAGGGGGTCTGCATACTTTTTCTCTAGAGGGCTAGATAGTAAATATTTTCGTCTTTGTAGGCTAGACTGCCATCTGCCATCTGTTTCTGTCACAATTACTCAGCTCTGTCCTTACGGTGTAAAAGCTACCACAGTCCAGGTGTAAATGGGTAGGCATGGCCGAGTTCCGATAAAACTTTATAAAAACAAATGCTGGGCCTTCTGGTCTAGACAGATGAGGAAATGATCACAATGCAATGAAGGATGCATGGTGACAAGTGTGCTCAGAGGTATGAGGGGTGAGAGGGGCACCCCAACCTCTGGGGGGGACATGGGGAGAAGGCTGCAGGGCCTGGGGGAGTGGCACATGAGGTATGAGACTGGGCCCAAAGTGTCCTACGTTTTCATTTAAAGCAAGTTAAGGACATAGGAGCTGATGGTGAGTACGCATTTTGGGATGCCAGCTGGCTGATCGCCAGGGCCTGACCACGTGAGTGCTGAGGACGATTAGCAGGGAGCCGTGACCCCCTGGGCAGGAGGCACAGAGCTGGAGGTGGGAGGGAGAGAAAGAGCGAGCTGCCCATTTTCTCTGGGACGGTCAGCTGAGTGTGGCCCCAAATGCCAGGCTGAGGGGCTGTGCCCTGTGCCTTCTTCCACTCACCCATCGTAAGACGAGATCCAATCCCACCTGTCATTCCTGTCCAAGGGCCTTCCCTCTCCTCCAAGCTCCTCTAACACTGGCTGTCATCTCAGTTCATGTGACATGTAGGTCCAAACATGCACTCGTGGACAAAACCTCCAAACTAGGCCATCCTAGCTGGCCCAGGGCAAAGGCCCCAGGGGAGATACTGGACGCCAGCACTTGGAAGTGTTGGGTGAGGAATAACATTATTGTCAAATCAGCCAACCCTTAAACGCACACACTTAACTGTGAAGCAGGACTGGCTGAGGCACTTCACATTCATTATCTCACTGACGTGGTTCTGCCCCACTTTACAAATGAAGAAACTAAGGCACAGAGAGGCCGAGACTACACAACCAGTAACTGGCAGGGCCAGGACGTCCACCCCAGGTATGTCAGACCCCAAACTCAGACTTTCATTCACCACTCCCAGCAGCTTGCCTCCCTCTCTCAAGGCTGCATCTGCATGGGGGAAGGGGTGTGGTCTGGACACCAGGAGAGGCCCTTCTGGGTCAGCAGTGGGACCAGATTGGTGAGGATACCCACTTCCCAGCCCTCAGGCTCAAGGATCTGGGCCAGTACCCACCAGGTGCCACATGGCATTCGGCAGTTGGCAGCCCCTGAAAGGGCCCAAAGGGGTTTTCTCACACCCACAGCCTCGACCCTGTCCCACTGACCCCAACCTGGAAGGGATGGACCTTTGTCAGCAGTGCTCCTTCCTCCCTCGCCCCGCTGGGGTGGCCCCCTGGCATACTGCATATTTCAAGCTGAAGGAACCTGAGAAATGGCCGGTGCTGCAAAGACCCTCTGACCTTGTCCCTGCAGCAGGTTGGTAGGCCCTCCTGAGGGGTCATCCCTCTACCCATAGGAAGGGAGCATCCTTGTAGTCAAGACAAGGGGACACACTGCGAGGAATACTAATGGGCAGGCCTTGTTCAGGATCTCCCAGTTAACTGCCCTTAGCTCATTTCCTTTCATCCTTTCACGTTTTTTTCCAAGCGTTTCCAATTCTCATCAAACCCAGCATAAACACGCTCAGGTCTGACCCCTTCCTTCAGGTCTTCATTTCATTCTGAGGGCTCCTTGTCATGTAAAACTTAACATTAAATATTTGTTTACTGTCTGTCTTTTGTTACAGAGCCCCAGCTGAGAACCCAGAAGGGGAAAAGGAAAAAGCTATTTTTCCTCCCCTATGACTGATTCATGAGGTATGGTCACCCAGCACCTGGTGGGGCAAGGATGGCATCTGCCGCTTTCTCGTCCTTCCGACGCACGGCAGACACTCAAGACAGTTATTCAGCTTAGATTTGAGTATAAAGCTCCCCAGAGGGAAGCAATCCATGTTGGCAGCACATCTTTTTCTTTTCTTTCTTTCTTAAATACATATGATAGTAAAACTTAAATGTTAAATAACATGGAAATAATAGAAATATTTGTGACAGGCTACAGGTTTCCTTTTTTGAATTTAAAAAGGAAAGAAGGCAATTTTCTTTTACGAAAAGGAAAAACGAGTGGCCTTTCCGTTGCACGTAGCTCTAGAAGAAATTCGGTTATTGCTCTGTAATTGATCAGGGTTATTGGATGAAGACTTTAAAGACAGAACAAAAATCTGGCCCCTCAACCAGGAAAGGAGGTCAGGGAGTTGAAGGCGTGACAAGGCCTACCATGCACTCCCTGTGATAGCCTGTGGCCACCAGCCCGGGGACCCTAAAGGCAGCCTCGCCCTTCCTGCCCGGGGTGACAACTTTGCACGGGGCTGTAGGTACCATTTAGGCTGTCACTGGAGGCTTCTGAGAGCAACTCCTCCCCAGTCCCAGCTTCATTCCTTCCGGGAGAGGACGAGAGCCTGCTGTGCGCCATCATCGAGGATGCTGACTTTGACACATTGCTGGTGATGGAAAGTGACACCGTGCAAGAGGCTGGGTCCCCTGGAGTGTAAGTCTGTGGGAAGGGAGCTCTTGAGCGCACGCTGTGAAGGGTCCTGTCTGCCGACGGGGAGGTTGGCCGAGGTGATGTCCCAAGTGGCTTTAGGCTGGAAAGTTCCTCACTAGGTAGCAAAAGGAGTTTCGGTTGAGTTGGGATCTGATCCTACTTTGGCGGAAATAAAAGAAAGAAACAAAATTACCAAACATGATAAATAAGTCCTTATCATTCGACAATGTGGCTGGTGGGTTGCATGAGACCAAGGCTTCTATGATCAGATAGTTAATCCTTGGCGGCCCTTTCTCTCCTCTCTTCTCATTTCTGGAAGTCAGGGTATAACATTTAGACAAGAAAACATTAGGATCAGAAATACTCCACAAGTAATGAGAAATATCACTTTACTTTCAAATACATACTGTTAATTACACATTTTCAAGTAGGTGATCTGACAGCCTGGACCTTCAACAAAACCAAAATATGCAGATTATTTCCCCTTAAAACACAGCCTTCCCATCGCTTAATATTCACTAGGATAGCTATAATCAAAACCAGAAAATAACAAGTGTTGGCGAGAATGTGGAAAAACTAGAACTCTTGCCCACTGCTGGTGGGAATGTAAAATGCTGCAGCCACTGTGGAAAATTGTTTGGTCTTCAGTAAGTTATATACAGAATTACTTCAGGACCAGTAATTCCACTCCAAGGTATATACCCAAAAGAACTGAAAACAGAAACTTAGATACTTGTACTCGTAGTCACGGGATTCACAATGCCCAAAAGGTGGAAACAACCCATATGCCCATCAATGGATGAAAGAATAAACATGATGTGGTCCATCCACATAGTGGGATATTTGGCCATAAAAAGGAATGAAGCTTTGACACATGCTACAACATAGATGAACTCTAAAAAATGATGCTGAGAGAGAAGCCAGACACAAAAGGCCACATGTTGTATGATCCCATTTATATGAAATGTGCAGAAAAGCAAATCCTAGAGACAGAAAGCAGATTAGTGGTTGCCAAGAGCTGGGGAGGAGGGTGAGGATGGGGAGTGATTAATGGGTATCCTTTGGGGCTGATAAAAGCGTTTTGGAAGTAGACAGAGGTGGTAGTTGCACAATACTGTGAATGTGCTAAATGCCACTGGATTGTTCAATTAAAAATGGTTAATTTTATGTGAATTTCATCTCAATAAAAAATGGAAGCAGAACAGCAAATCCTAGTTAATGATTCCTGTGTGGTACAAGTGACAAGTAGGCATGGATCGCTGATGGCATTAATCCCTGCTGGTGTTCAATCAGTCATGCCAAGTGCTGTCCTGTGGTGTACAGTTACAAGTCAGACTGTATTGCAATGCTGCCTATTGTGTCCCAAATTCCATCCTCTACAGAGCAGGCCCACAATAGGTAACTGTCTGAGAAAAGGGTTTCCTTTTCAAACCCCTTTCTCTGGTAGCTTATGGATGGCAGCTGCTATCAAAAGTCTCTAGTGCTATGACATAAAGGTACAAATGCAAAGGCTTTGTTGAAAATAAATGTGGGCAAAGCTTACCAAGAATAGTTCTATTTGTTCTTTCTCACTGACTCTGGTGCTCATGAAACCCTGATCTGTGCATATTTCTTTTTCTCTAGAAGATTTCATCAAGCTTCCCAGCAACTCTTTCATTTCCTCTTCATCACTGTCTGGAGAATCGAATTTTCTAGTAGGTTCTTTCTTTTGGGGGGTTGGAAAATTCTTCTCTTTCCCAAAATGGGCTTCAGGGGACAGCTTTTCAATGGGTGGTTCTCTCTTCTTCAGAAACCTACTGACCTTCCCGCTTGGTGTATCGCTCTCAGCGACAGGAATTTCACGAGCCTGCTCGTGGGAGGTTTTGTCTGTATTCTGTGAAGAAAGTTTAACCGTGCTCCTGGGAGGAATTTTGTCTGCTCTCCTGGGAAGACTGTCTTCTGAGGTCTTCGGGTCAGATTCCACGTCAGACAAGTCCCTCTGCACCTTCCGATTCACGATCTTGGATTCGATCTGGGCCAGCTTCCTGAGCACAGCACTGGTCCTGAGCTTTGAGGCGGTAGTCGGGGGTCTACCTGAGGATAGACAGGACCCACCCCCCAAGCCAGCATCTTCTTTTGGAAATAAGTGTTTTTCACCCATAGTTTGGCTTCTTTTTAGAAATCTGCTATGACTGGGAGCTCTTTTGGTGAGATTCCTATTGATTTTCAAGTTTCCGATTTCTTCCATCTTTGAATCTTCTAAGGAAATATCACTGAAATCACCAAAGATATCGCGCATGGGACGGTTGGTTTTTCTTGTTGAAGCCATCCTAGGGAGGAAAGAAAGAAAACTTATAGTAACAATACCTGATGTTTGGATCGTGCCTTCAAATCTCTCAGTGGCTCCCACCACCCTGGGAGAGCAAATGCCCTTTGCAGTCTGGCCAGAGCCTTTCCTTCAAGCCCAATGATGACAAGGAAAATGCTCAGACACTTGGTACCACTTAATGAATTACTATTCAAAGCCAGGTCTTAAATGAGACATGTTACATAGTAAACACCAGAGTTGGCAATTCTGTCTCCGGCAGTGTGCCCGGCACTCTGCTCAAAGCTACATTATCTCATTTAACCCTTACGCAAACGTGTGAGTCAGTTATTGTCACCCACCTTCATAAAGGAGGTGGAGGAAATGAAAGCTCCCACAGGTCACCAGCCAAGTTAGGCTGGTAAGCAGCTGAGGCAAATTCAAAGCTCAGGTCTAATTCCAAAGGCCCCACTCTCCCCCTATTGGGCTTCGCTGCCTTGCCAGTTACTGTTCCCCCATAGTTGGAGTGAGTCTTGCTCCCCAGTCGCACCTCAAGTTGGGGCTCTTCTTTTATCAATGTGCCCTCGGCTCTCTCACAAAGAGCTGTTGAAACACAACCTGTGTGTTTATTGAAGTCCCCTAAAAATCTGATTTCACTTAAAAGTGTGAGAACCACTGCCCTGGAAGGAGGGGTAGGCCCTGGACAGACACAGCACCACACCCCGTCCCCCCACCAAACGTCAGCCACAGGTGGAGTGCGCATCCTGGTGTACATCTTTCCGGGGAAAAGGGCCAGAGCTTTCATCACATTCTCAGAGTTTCCTGAAAGAACAGAAACAACCCACTGCAAGACTTATAAAACTTTCAAAAGATTTTAAAGATGTAAAAAGATGGAGAAATATGGCATGGGTGGAAATGTACTTGCTGCAGCCTTTTAGTGAGAAACTTGGCAACAGCAATGAAGATGTGAGTTGCATGGACCCTGGGACCTGGCAATTTCACGTCTGGGAATTTACCTACAATTATACTCTCAAACGTGCACAGAGATGTATGTTCAAGGAATGTCACAGCAGTGTTGTTTGTACTTATCAAAAACCCGAACTCATCCCCAGAGAGCTGGTAAAGTCCAAGAGACAGCATTCAGATGATGGAATATTACGCAGCCATTAAAAGGAATGAGGGAGATCTGTGTGCATAATAATGTCTCCAGTATAATAATATGTAAGGCAGGAAAGACAAGATGCAGAACCGTGCCTTGTCTCCATACTGATCTGGAACAACAAATATTTTTGTAGCTGAGGCTCAGGAGATGACTCAGACCAGGGCATTCTGTGGGTCAGTGAGGAGACCCCACCACCAGGCCAGGTTTTCTGGCATCTGGTTCTTCTAAAATTTTCCCTAGGTTTAAAAGTAAACCAATGGAAAAATGGTTAAAATGGTAAATTTTATGTCATGTATCTGTTACAACTAAAATAGATATATTTAAAATACACACAACTAAAAATAAATCAAGGACATGAACAGACATTTCCACAAAGAAAGCCAGGGCTAACAAGCCCATGAAAAGATGTTCGGCGTTACTAGCCATTAGGAAAATGAAAATCAAAACCACCATGACTCTTTTTGGTGGCCGTTCTCCCTCGGAGGAGGCCTTTAGGCAGCAGCCATGGTGCCCAGCTGAAATGGTGTGATCCCGAAGCCCCACTTCCACAGGACTGGCAGCAGCGTGTGCCCATGTGGTTTCACCAGCCTGCATGGAAGATCCGCAGACGCAAGGCCCAGCAAGCCAAAGCTCTCTACATCACCCCATGCCCTGCGTCCAGATCCGTAGGCCCATAGTGAGACATCCCACTGTGAAGTATCACACCAAAGTGAGAGTTGGCAGGGGCTTCAAACTTGGAGGAGTTAAGGGTGGCTGGCATCCCCAAGAAAGTGGCCTGAACCATTGGGATCTCGGTGGGTCTGAGGAGGTGGAACAAGTCCACTGAGACCCTGCAGGCTAATGTGCAGCGCCTGTGAGTAGCCCTCCCAGCTCATCCTCTTCTCCAGGTAGCCCTCGGCCCCTAAGAATGGAAACAGGATGTTGATTAAAAAAAAAAAGAAGAAGAATTCCACTTCACGCCCTCTAGGAGGGCTAAAACCAAAAATTATAGTATATGTGCTGACGAAATGAGCACTCAAAAATACAGATAATAACAAGCGTTGGTGAGGATGTGAAGAAACTGAAACCCTCATATACTGTTGGGGGACTGTAAAATGGTGCAGTCACCAATTTGGAATATACCCTGGTGGTTCCTCAAAAGGTTAACCATAGTTAACAAATGATCCAGTAATTCTACTCCATGTGGCCTAAGATAACTGAAATGTAAACAAATATTCATGATAGTTATTATTCATAATAGACGAAAAGTGGAAACAATCCAAATTTCCATTAACTAGAGAATGGATGAGAACTGAGGTCCAGTGAAATACCATTCAGCAGTAAGAACAAATAACAACATACACAACAACAAGCAAAATCTCAAACACATTACAATAAGTTAAAGTAGCCAGATGGAATATACCATACACTGTATGATTCCATTTATAAGGGCTGTCCAGAAAAGGCAAATCTACAGACTCAGAAAGCACATCAGGGGTTGCCTGGGGCTGGGGGTGAGCGCCGGGATGGACTGCAAAGGGGTAACTGGGAACTCCTTCCATTGATGGAAAGTTGTAAAGCTGGATTGTGGTGATAGTTGCACCACTTCGTAAGTTTACTAAAAATAACTTAAAATACACTTAAAAGGGTGAACAGTATGGTATGTAAATGAACCCTCAATAAAGTTGTTAAAAATAAATAAGTCAAACTTTGAAAACACTGACGCGCCTCAGACCACCGGGGTCTTTTCCCAGGCCTGGAGAGACCCACACCGGACCACGCTCCCCAGCGGGCCCAGACAGAAAAGCTGAAGCAGGAGGCGCTGGGCCGCCCTCCCAGCTCAGCCCCCGAGCGCGCCCCATTTCCCCGCGATTCCTCTCCCAAGCCCTACCGCCGCCAAATCAGACTTTCCAACCTCTTCCCACGACGTCCAACCGCGGAGGCCGCCGCAGATTTCAGCGGGGCACTCAAGCCATAGGGGACCGTTGCCCCGGGCAACGGCGCCGGGGCGGAGGAGACTACAGCTCCCGGCGAGGACCACGCCCTCAAAAACCAATAGTGCCGCAGGTCACAATCGCGAGGCGTCATGGGAGTGGTAGTTCTGGAGCGGGACCGGCGCGCACCGCGCGCGGGGGACCAATGATGCCTCAGATGACAGGCGCGAGGCGTGACAGGAGTTGTAGTTTCGGGACGAGCCTGGCGCGCCGCGGAGACTAAGAGCGAAGGGCTGGTTACAAGAAGCGCGGCGCACCGTCTATGGCCGCGGTTTACGTCCCGCTCTGGGCGGTCTGCGTGCTGCGGGTGGCGCTGGCCACCGTCTACTTCCAGGAGGAGTTTCTAGACGGAGGTGAAGGAGTGATGCCCATGATGGCGGGGCGTAAGCTCCCTGCTTTCCCGCTGCTGAGCGGATGGCCCGAGTCGCCTTTGGCGGCGGCGGGGCTTGGGAGAGGAGTTGCAAGGAAGTGGGGCGCGCTCCGGGGCTGACCTGGGAGGGCGGCCCAGCGCCTTATGCTTCAGTTTTTCTGTCTAGGCTATGGCGAAGCCTAGAAGCTGCAAAGGCTAGAGGGACCCTCCCCCTACCCTCCCCCTGACCCAAACAGTTTTCAGCCCTAACTGGTGTTGTTTCCCCCCACAGAGCGCTGGAGGAACCGATGGGTGCAGTCCACTAATGACTCCCAATTTGGGCATTTTAGGCTCTCGTCGGGGAAATTTTATGGCCATAAAGAGAAAGACAAAGGTTAGTGTAGGAATCGTGAGAAAATCAAGCTAAACGTACACACACACACACACACACACACTCACTCTCACTCTCACTCTCTCTCTCTCTCTCACTCTCTCACTGTCACTCGACCCTTGAACAATATGGAGGTTAGGGGTGCCCTCCCGCCCCGTAACAACCTTTCAAGGTAGGTGTGGCTCAGCCCAGAACACCTCTTGCACCCATTCACAGCTGGGTAGGCTTGGGCGTTATTTTTAGTTTTCTCCTTTCTTTACTTGCCCAAGATCACCCGGCTCTGTATGCATTGCAAGACCCCAGGGCCCTACACGGCAGAGGAAAAAACGATTAGAGGATACTTTTCATTTTTATTTCACTTTAAGAAGAAAAAGTCTACGTAAAACGTACTGTCAATTCAACAGATCTTAGAGGTACAACAGGATGAATGTTCACATCTGTACGCATAGGTCAAGCTAGGGAACACTTTCAGCGCCCCCTTCCCAGAGGCCTCCCTTGTACACCCACTCTCTTGGTGCCAAGAATAACCTCTATTCTGGCTTCCTCTCATTCCTGATGATCAAAGGTGGACAAACTACAGCTCATCTACCACCTATTTTTTTGTACAGCCAGCAAGCCGAGAATGGTTTTTACACTTTTTAATTGTTGAGAAATAGGGGAATAGTATTTTGTGACATGTAAAAATTATATAAAATTCAATGAAATATATCAAATTTTAGTGTCATAAATAAGTTTTAATGGAACACAGCCATACGCTCATTTGTTTACATATAGTCTATGGCTGCTTTTGTACTGCAAAGGCAGAATTGAGTAGTTGCTATAGAGACCAAATGGCCGACAGAGTCTAAAATACTTACTTTCTGGACTTAAGAAGTTTGCCGACCCCTGATTTTGAGGAAAAATTTTTCTCCTTGGCACCTTTCATTCAAACTTTGCCTTGGCCCTGTTACTCTAATGTTGCCCTTTCTGGCAGCCTCTGATTTCAGTTGTATGTGCATTGTTTTATAAGTTACATGTTGACCCCAAATGCTGGTCAAAATTCAGACTATATGACAAAAGTGGAGTGAAAACAAACAGGTTATTCCATTAAGCTTGCCCAAGGGCAGGGGTTCCCACTTAGAATCGCTTGAGTCTTTTTCCACAATGTTTTTCCTTCCTCCAACCTGGAATCCTGAGATTCTGTGTAGTTCATTCACTCTAGCATGTGTCTGCTGATTGCAGACATGGACAAAGCACTGGGGATACTGGTTAATTTGGCCCCTTCTGTTATGGTCTCCTGGGACCATGACACAAAGCCATGGATGGAAAGAAATAGAATTTAGACAGAGATGGGAGGTGGTGAGAGACCATGGGGGTGGCTGAAGAGCATGGTAAGACACAGAGACGGAAGTGGTGAATCACATGGCCTTAGGAATTGCCTGGATAGTGGGGACCAAGGGAGGGGGAGGGACTACAGATTCCCTGAGAAAGAGGAGAGTAAGGAAAGTATAGAGGACAGAGAAGTGTGGTAGTGGAGATTCAGCCATGAGTTCATGTTGAACATATTGCTAGAAAATGCCAGACTCACTTATGATGACTTTCAGCATAGGTAGCTATGAGGCCAGAGTCTGCAGCGAAAAAGGGTTATAAGACTGTCTCTATTTTCAGGTTTATCTGATGAATTCCAGTATTAAGATAAGGATTTGGTACAGAGCCTAGTGTCTACTGAAAAAGGGGGTTTTGGTCTTGAAGTGAGCACCTAAACTTATAAAATAAATATGATATGATTAATTATATTTGGTCTTGAAGTGAGCACCTAAACTTATAAAATAAATAATTCACATGACAAAAGAATGGTGTATTTATAAAAAGAGCCACCACACAAATGATACCCCTGGGCCAGCTCACCTAGTGTAGTGAAACACTTACAGATAAGCACTCTGTCCTCGATTTACTGTTTTGTTTGAAGATGAAAATAAAGGAAAAGAAGTAGAATGCTTTGTTTTTAAATTCAGTTACCATATAAGCTTCCTTGTATATTCCCACCCCTTGGAAGATGAATGGAAGCAAAATTAATGTTTTATCCATAACTAGATTACATATTTGTCATTCAGAGCTGAAGTGTTTTTATAACCTAAGACAATAGTGGTATATTAAGTACAAAAACATCTTCTGAGGGTATCAAATAGAAGTGCTGTGGCAGCAGGGAACCTGTTGGTGGTGTGCCCGTTGTATGTTATTGTACATATGAGCTACGGGCACTGGATGGACGTAGATGATTAGGAGGTTTGTTATTGGGCAAAGGGGAAAGACAGACATTTAATTCTCTGCATCACTGAGCACTGTGTCATTTCTAATCCTTCATGAGTGCTTTTTATTTGAAGGTCTGCAAACCACTCAAAATGGCCGATTCTATGCCATTTCTGCACGGTTCAAACCATTTAGCAATAAAGGGAAGACGCTGGTCATTCAGTACACAGTGAAACATGAGCAGAAGATGGACTGTGGAGGGGGCTACATTAAGATCTTCCCTGCAGACGTGGATCAGAAGAACCTGAGTGGAAAGTCCCAGTACTATATTATGTTTGGTGAGTTCAGGTAGTAAAAGGCAACCATTTCTAGTGATCTTGAAAACCCACTTTGTAGGATCCTTAGACTATTCTAAAATAATAGTATTGAATATATCTGACCAAAGGTTTTTAGTACTGTTAAACCTCTTTAATATTATAAAAAGGCACTGTACTGTTCTATTGTGCTTTTGATAAAGTTATTTATTTAACATTAATGTAGACCCAAGTATTGAGTATATGAGGAGTCAGCAAACCTTGCCCATGGGCCAGATCAGCCCAAAGTCTGTGTCTGTTATGGCCCTTGAGCTGAGAATAGGTGTTAACATTTTTGAATGATTGAAAAAAATCCAAAGAAGGGTAATGTTTTTGACACATGAGAATGATATGAAACTCAACTTTCAGTGTCCACAAAAGAAGTTTTACAGGAATGCAGCCTCAGTCAGTTCATTTGCATTTTGTCCGAGGCTGCTTTCAAGCAGCAATGGCAGAGTGTTGAGTTGTTGTAACAGATTATATGGCCCCCAAAACCAAAAATATTTACTGTCTAGCCCCTTACAGAAAAGGGGAAAGGGGGCAGAGAGAGAATATTTTTTAAAAATGTCTGCAAACATCCTAAATTTGATGAAATATATGGATATAAGCATCTAAGAAACTCAATGAACTCTCAGTGAGCTTAAAGAAACCCACATCAAGACACATTACAATCAAATTTTCAAAAGAGAGAAGTGAATTATCAGACACGGGGTTTTCAATAAGATAAGCACATTTCTCAAAAGGAACTTTGGAGGCCAGAAGACAGTGGGCAGATATATTCAAAGTGCTGAAAGAAAAAAACCAACCAAGAATCATCCAGCAAAACTGTCCTTCGAAAGCGTAGGAGAAAGACATTCACAGATACACAAAAGCTGAGGGAGTTCATGACCAATAGACTTGCCTTACAAGAAATGCTCAAGGGAGTCTTGCAAGGTGAAGTGAAAGGACACTAGACAGTAACCAATCCTGAAACTTTTCTAAAAAATTGAAGTGAAGACATTTGAACTCAGTCTATGAAGCTAGCATTACCCTGATACCAATACCAGACCAATAGCCTTTATGAACATTGATGCAAAAATCTTCAGCAAAATACTAATACAGAATTCAGCCACATATTAAAAAGGTCATATACTGTGACCAACCAGCATTTATTCCTGGACTGCAAAACGGATCGAATATAATATGCCACATCAACAGAATGGATAAAAACCATGATTATCATGATCGATGCAGAAAAAGCATTTGACAAAATTCAACACCCTTTTATGATAACACTCAACAAACCAGGAGTAGTAGGAAACCGCTTCAACATAATAAAGCCATATGTGAAGAACCCACAGCAAACGTCATAAAGGAGAAAGATTTGAAATCTTTTCCTCTAAGATCAGGAACAAGGCAAGGATCTTCTCTTTCGCCACTTTTATTCAACAAAGTCCTGGAAGTTCTAGTCAGAGCAATTGGGCAAGAAAAAGAAAGAAAGGGCATCCAAACTGGAAAACAGTAAAAATTATCTTTGCACATCTGCAAACAAATATAATATAAGATAATATAATCTTACATGTAGAAAACCTCAGGATTACACACAAACACACACACACACACACACACACAAACTATTAGAACTGTTGAATGAATTTGCCAAAGTAGGATACAAAGTAAACATGAAAAAAAAAGTTGCATTTCTATATACAATGAACAATCTGAAAAGGAAATTACAAAAACGGTTCCATTTACAATAGCATCCAAAAGAGTAAAATACTTACAAATTAACCAAGGAGACAAAAGACTTAGTGAAAACTACAAAATATTGCTGGAAGACATTAAAGAAGACAAAAATGGAAACATCCCACATTTATGGATTGGAAGACCGAATATTGTTAAAATGTCAGTACTACCCAAAGCGATCTACAGATTAAATCCCCTATCAAAATTCCAGTGACTTTTATTTTTTTTTTTTGCAGAAATAGAAAAACTCATCCTAAAATTCATATGCAATTTCAAAGAACCCTGAATAACCAAAACAATCTTGAAAACGAAGAACAAAACTGGAGGACTCAAACCATGTCTATGGACAGGTGAATGGATAAACAAAATGGTATATTCATACAATGAAATATTATCCAGCCTTAAATAGGAAGGAAATTCTGGTACTTTTTACAGCATGGATGAACCTTGAGAATATAATTCTAAGTGAAAGAAGCAAGTCACAAAAGACCACATATTTAATGATTCCACCTATGTGAGGTACTTAGAGTAGTCAAATCATAGAGACAGAACATAGAGTAGTGGTTGCCAGGGGCTGGGGTGTAGGAATGTGGACTTAGTATTTGATGGGTATGGAGTTGCAGTTTTACAGGATGAAAAGAGTTCTGGAGATGGATGGTGGTGATGGTTGCATAAGTGTGAATGTATTTAATACCACTGAACTGCACACTTAAAAATGGTTAAGGTTGTAGAGCTTACGTGTGTTTTACCACAATAAAAAAAGTGAAAAATAGCTTTAAAAATTAAAATATATTTTAAAAATAACCATCTACAATCAAAATTTGGCAACTCATCTTTTAAAAGTATTTTCCCTCATCTGACATGTTCGTCTCGCAGAATTTTTCTCCCTCGTTTTTTCCATGCTTATCTCTGAATTTATCATGATCAGCATCAGGCTTCAGACATCTAGTTATGCTAGTCTTATATTTATATATATGGCTGGTCATAGTATTTTTGTAGAAAGTAGGAAAAAATATATATTCTATTTTAATAGATATTGGATTATTTATTAGATTTAAATATAACCCTTCTCTGTCATTTTGGAGAGGGAGATGACTTCTCCAAGATCACAGCATTACATAGAGTCAGTTTTCGCAGACTCCACAGCTCCCCACCGAGAATTCTCTCTTGCCATCCTTGCATTTACTCTTGAATTTAAAACCTGGAATGGAAATAGTCTTTATTTATGATGAAAAAAGAAAATAACATATCTTGGTTTTGGTTATTGTTATTCTCTTAAAACAGGATAGCAGAGATAGCTGGCAAAAAAATATTACCTATGGAATTAGAATTGATTTAATAAATATTTGATTTAATTAGGTTTGGTAAACAAAACCACAAATATCCACCAAAATACTACTCTAAATATGTCTAATATGCTTGCTACATCTGAATTGTGAAGCAGCATATTTTGGAGTTAAAAAATATTTTTTCTGTATTATTTTTGCTTTTAACTCAGTTTCATTTTAGTCAAATCCGCTGTGTTACTGTTAGGACACTTCCTGGTGATGTCTCGGCACTACCCTTTGAGAACAGCTTGCTGAGGCTCTTGGTGTTGAAGGGGAAGAGAGAAGTATGTTGTAGTGGGCCCCTGCCAGGGGCCTTGCACATGCAATCTTAGAGTATGTTATAAAACCCTAGGAAATAGAGAACACAGCCCCAACCTTGCAAATGAGAAAACTGAGACTCAGAAAGATTAAATTTCTTGCCTCAAGTCAGGTCAGCCTGACTTCAGAGCCCATATGTCTGCCCTATTTCATCTACCCTACAAAAATCTGTTATGTGTGTAAATATTTTATGATCACTGTTAACAGAAAATGTCCAGATTTTCCAGTCAGGTCTGGCAGTGTTCTGAAGCTTAATTTAATATTAAAAGTGTGTGCATGCTTAAGAATAGGGAATTTTGAAGAAAAAGTAAATTTCATGTTTCAATCTTGAAATAGTAGACTTTTAAACAAATAGTTCACATAAGCTTTTGTTTTAAAAATTGAACTGGAGTCTACATCCATGCCACCTTGAACAAGCCCGATCTTGTCTGATCTCGGAAGCTAAGCAGGATCGGGCCTGGTTAGTACTTGGATGGGAGACCATGTAGGAAGACAAGGTGCTGTAGGTGTCAAATGTAAAAAATAAGGGATTGAAAGCTGACAAGGTCTTTGCAATCTGTGAGGTCAACCAAGGGTTGCCTCGCCTAAAAAATTTAAAAAATAAAAAAAGTAAATAAATATTGAACTGGAATGTTTCCGGCAAAAAAAAAAAAAAAAAGGAAATTACATAAACTCACATCCTCTGACAACTAGAAGATAGACGCATTGTTCTTTGTCGGTCTCTCTAGACGCCACTTCCAACTTCAGTGTCATATCTACTCTGGCAAATTGATATCCTTTAAGCAACATCTTTACACGCAGCCTGGATCTCATTTATTCTGGAGGTTCATCTCTGCAAATTGTAGAAGAGATCGCAATCATCTGCTTGTGTTTTGGCACAGTTCTCCTCACAGAATCCCCTAGGGTAGGTGCAGGCTAGGGGCAGGCTGGGTTGTGGTAAAATTTGATCTGAGATAGACAACCAGATGCTTGGCATCTCCCTAAGGCTTAAGGTCAAAGCTACAGCAAGGTAATTCCCTCAGAAGGTTTGACGAATTTTTCAGATTCCTCCTGCAAATCTTGTTTAGTATTTTAATATATTCAAAACTCCTTAGTCTCTGATAAGGGAATAGAATGTCCTACAACATTCCATTTCCTGAGTAGAACTGAACTCTATGCCAATTTAAAAATCGATAACTTTTGAATGGGATTATTTCTAGATTTTACAGCTTATCAGAATCTACCAACTAATCACAGTCTCTTTTTTGTTTATGATTTGAAGTTATCATTAAGAATGTGTGTGTGTGTGTGTGTATGTGTGTGGTCTTCGGGCATAATAATAACAACAAAAAATATTGAGCTTTAAATACATTACCCCTTTTAATTGGCAAAATAACTTTGTGAAGTCAAAATTAACACTGAGGTATGAGGAGGCTGCATAGTTGCAAATATGTCTCAACACAGTGAATGAGAGCTGGGGTCGGAGCCAGTCAGTCCAGCTCCGAAGCCCTCACCTGGGCGCAGGTGCACTGGTCAGGGCTTCAGAGCACTGACCAGACTCAGACAGCACGTCGATGCTTACCAGACTGTTAAACCTTCCTTTTCTTACTCACATGCTGGTTTACACTTGAGTCCAAAGTGGCTGCGGGGAACAGAGAAGCACTTGAACTGAAAAGGGTGTCTCTGTCCATTTAAATATCTCCACGTACATATCTGATTATTCCTGGATATGTAAACTGCCTGTGTCTTGGATATAATTTCAGGAGAATGGTTGGGAGTATCCTGTGGTGATACATTATGGAAGGGAATTGAGAGCATCTAATGTTTTTTTCTTTTGGTAGGACCTGATATTTGTGGATTTGATATCAAGAAAGTTCATGTCATTTTACATTTCAAGAATCAGTATCATTCAAACAAGAAACCTATCAGGTGTAAGGTAAATGCTTTTGTATGCAAATCAATGATTGTGTTAACCCTTGACGAATGATAACATAAGTTTAGAGAAAATAGTTTTGATCTTAAAATATCTAAATGAGCCAGGGATGGATCTTAGCAAACATACCCCACATCCCTGCTTTCTAGTTTAGCAGGCCCTTTAGAGACATTTGTCCACTACTTTGGTTTGGTTTCTAAAGTTTTTCCCCATCAGGAGGGCACTCACTTTTTATCGTAAACTATGACATCAATTTATAATTTACCCTATCAGGGTTACAACAGGTAGGTCACATTTCAACCATATCTATCCTCACTGAGGAATGAAATGGTCCTGATTTTATTTCTTTATTCCTGTAAATTAATCTGGAGAAATACCAAAACATTTAAAAATAGAAATATTTCTCAAATGAAAGCATACACTCTTACCTTTTCACCCAGGGAATCCGTGAAATGACTGTTTTTGTCTTAGGGCCTGCTTTATAACTCAATGGCCCTGCCTGGGGCTTCTCCAAAGCAGCAGCTTGTGCTAAATCCCTGGCATGTGGGCCTATTGAGGGGAATAATGCTCCCTAATAATCCCCCCACCTCATTTGAATGTAAGCACCAGGAAGCAGGGACCTGTCCCCTGAGGTACCTCCAAGGCCCAGAACTTTGGAGGCCTTCATGAATGTGGGTGAATCTGGTCGGAAGGCCCAAGTGTGTCTCCAGATCATTGACAGTGTGGAGGGGAAGTGTCTATTACTGTCCCTTATTCAGTCTCAATCCAAGCACGGGAGCACTAGGTCTTTTCACAAAACCCTGGTGTATCTACAGCCATGCCACCCTGAACAAGCCCGATCCCGTCTGATCTCAGAAGCTAAGCAGGGTCAGGCCTGATTAGTACTTGGATGGGAGACCACGTAGGAAGATCAGGTGCTGTAGGCGTAAAAAAAAATAAATAAATAAGGGACTGTAAGCTGACAAGGTCCTTGCAGTCTGTGAGGTCAGCCAAGAGTTGCCTCGCCTAAAAAAAAAAAACAAAACCCTGATATGTCTCCATTGGCAGCACAGCCCCTCTTGGCCCCCGCCATTGACATAGTGGTTCTAAGAGATCAGTGGTTCCCCACATACACACCTCGGCCTGACATCCCTCCCATGGGGCAAGGGGGAGCTCACCATCCAAGGCCACTTAGTGTTTGGACCAAAGGGCAGGTCTTTGTGATCGATTCCTGAGAAATTATTCAGGTGTATGGGAGAGAAAGTGATGACACGATGGAGGCTGCGAGGTCCTGTGCCTGGGAAGCTGAAGCATGATCGCCTAGGGTCAGCAAACCTACAGGGCCCTGAGAGGCACCCACAGGCTGAGGACACCCTCAGGCCTGTGCTGCTGTTTCTGCAACCTGTTAGAAAAATAAGACACATCTGCTGAAGGAGCACTGATTCACAGCAGCTACCTGGCGTTATGGTCTTCCCGGTGGGGAGACCCGCTATCTCCACAGGGCTCTGATTCATGCTGTGATGCTGGAGAGGAAAGGGTGAGAACCTGTCCTGCAGATCTGATCTGCATGTTAGAAAAATGGCTCAGATGTTCTGGGTGTGTGTGTGTGTGTGTGTGTGTGTGTGTGGAGGAACAGAGTGATCGCTTGTCAGGCCAAGGCTCTGGCGGGATGCAGAGCATGGGAGCGTTTTGATAATTCAGGAGTGGGGTCCAGAGGACTTGATGATGTTTGGAATGTGGGTACTGAGGATACGGACGATGACTCTCAGCAGCATTGCTGTTAATCAAGAGAGGAAACAAAGGCCAAGGAGGGGCAGACCGGGAGTCACGTTTAGAACGATTGTGTGTGAAATCCTGGCAGACATCCGGATAGAGGTATCAGTAAGCTGTTGGAAACTGGGGTCTGAAACTCAGGCTGAAGGTTGGATTGAAAGATGCCTTTTGGAGCCATTCGTGTATGTGTGGGAGTGGATGTGATCCCCCAGGAGGCTCTGTCTTGGAAGACACCAGCAACAGGGCCAGGGAGCCTGAAGTCTGAACAAGGAAACGGAGTTGAAAAGAAAGGCAGCAGAGAGCAGAGGGAGAGCATGGGGAGAAGCAGTTATTCGTCTGTGGTATTGATCCCTGACAGTCATTGGCGACCGTGTAGACAGCAGTGCCCTGTCCAGCAGGGTGGAGCAGATGGAACTGAAGAGGCCTTTAGCTTTTGGTTCTTGGCAGGAGAGAACCCTCCTGATACAGACCCTTTAAGATGCTGGGACAGTGGCTGACAAACCTGAGTCATGTCACTGTCCCTGGAGGGCC